ATCTGATAAGAAATACCTCTTACACACTTGCAGGGTTTACTTTACCTCTCCTCCTGTCTCGGTATATAAGCCCCAGTAGAACAGTGGACACCAGGTAAGGCGTTCCCACCAACAGGTGAAATACTAGTCTTAAGACAGAAAAAGAGCAGGGAGCGGCCGGTTCAGCTGCAGATGTAGATGAAGGAAACTCCTGAGATGAAGCTGTAAAGAGATGAACATGGAAAATTATACATTTAAATGCTTTATTAAATACATGTTTTCTTTAATTGTGTCTTTTTAGGGGTAGAATGTTTTTCTCTCCTCATCATTTGCAGATGTACAAAACAAAGACAAATATGCAAATTTTGGAGTTTATAGCAGCCATTTTTTAAAATTTCTTTTTTCTTAAAATGCTTAAAAATTTTAAATTGCTCAACATTGTGTGTGTGATGGGATTTTTGTTGCTCACCATCAACTGCCAGCCAGCTGCCTAGTGATTCTTCACCTCCTGAAATGCTGCATTTATAGAGTCCTTCATCAGATTTAGAAACCCTTTTAATGGTGATTTCTCCTGTGGAGTTCCTTTTGATGCAGTGGCCATCTTTATAGAAATCAAAAAACTGGTTGAAGGACTTTGTCTCAGGTGTACAATGCAGTGTTACAGTGGCTCCCTCAGACACGGGAAGGGCAGGACTCTCCAGAATCACAGGCTGATCTTTGGAAAATGCAGAAAATCAAGATTTGTCATTTTTATAGGTTTTCTTTGCTTCATTTCTAAATGATCAGACTTAATAAGTGTGACTTTAAGTTTAAATGTTGCATAGCAGAACTTAACGTAGTGTTATTCATACCAGTAATGGTAATGTTGACCACATTGCTCTGCTCCCCACTGACAGACTCACACCAGTACACGCCGCTGTCTGGTGGGTAGGTTTGTCCGATGATGCAAGTCGAACCCGAGGAGGCATAGCCCCAGCCAGAGGAGCAGGGTCTGGTCCCCCCTGCGAGCGTTTTCCTCTTCACTTTCCAACCAGTGTTGTTCAACTGTTCGCCACAGCTCAAAGAGATGTTGTCATACCTGAAGAACTGAGACCTGTCAGGGTTGACCTGAAGACAGGCTGTAGGGAAGGAAGAGAGAGAGAAAGAGACAAGAAAAGGGTGAAAATTAAAAAAACAAACAAAAAAACAACAACCAAAAAAAAAACAGAACGAAAATAATTTATTAAGGACCGAATAAAAGCAGTGTTTAAGAAATTAAAGTGTAAGCAGGGATAATGATGGATTATAAGAAAAAAAAAATGTACAAAATTGTTCAAAATATCCTTAAATGTTGAATTTTGTACTCACTCAGCATCAGGCAGAATGGTGTTAACTGCATCCTGTGTCAACACCAACTAACAGAAAAACAGACGCTGATCTCTCACTTCCTGAAGATTTTGGTAGGCGTGGTTGTTTTGTTTGATGGCAGTTATCATGGCATGCGATTGATTTGATTAATGCAACTGACCTGCTTACTAAATGCATCGATTTTATTTCGGGGAAAGTACACCAAACTATAAAACAACCCAAGAAGTTGCCTATGCAAGTAATGCAATCATATATCAACAGTATTATCTGTTTTAATGCATATAAATGCTGGTTTGATATCCATTACTTGTTTTTGATCTCCCTTACACCAATTTATCTTTTTTACAAGATGCGAGCAGCCACCTTAACCCTTAAATGTGTAAGTGGGTCAAAAATGATGCTCCGATAGGTATCATAAGTTTCCTAGAAACAAAGGTCGTAAAGTTGTAAAGTAAAGTAAACAGTATGTGTGTAGCGATTGTAGCTCGAAACAGGTAGTTTGTCACAATTTAAAACAGAGAGCAGAAAAGGCAAGAAAACAGCAATGTTTGACTAACTTACTTAAGAATGTAGAGTCCAGTCACTCGTGGATCTAAGAGTTAATATCAGCTGCTGATTTGTGGTGGGCTGGGTGTTAGTGATGGGATTTCTGGCTCTTTTTAGAGAACCAGCTCTTTCGGCTCGCTCACAGCTCGGCTCTTCAGGTTGTTTTGTTGCTTTAATTAATTTATTATTAACAACAATAAAATTATGCACAAAAGGAATTACTATGTAAAAAAAGTGTGGTTTTATATATGTTTGTATACTAAATACAGGGAGTGCAGAATTATTAGGCAAATGAGTATTTTGTCCACATCATCCTCTTCATGCATGTTGTCTTACTCCAAGCTGTATAGGCTCGAAAGCCTACTACCAATTAAGCATATTAGGTGATGTGCATCTCTGTAATGAGAAGGGGTGTGGTCTAATGACATCAACACCCTATATCAGGTGTGCATAATTATTAGGCAACGTCCTTTCCTTTGGCAAAATGGGTCAAAAGAAGGACTTGACAGGCTCAGAAAAGTCAAAAATAGTGAGATATCTTGCAGAGGGATGCAGCAGTCTCAAAATTGCAAAGCTTCTGAAGCGTGATCATCGAACAATCAAGCGTTTCATTCAAAATAGTCAACAGGGTCGCAAGAAGCGTGTGGAAAAACCAAGGCGCAAAATAACTGCCCATGAACTGAGAAAAGTCAAGCGTGCAGCTGCCAAGATGCCACTTGCCACCAGTTTGGCCATATTTCAGAGCTGCAACATCACTGGAGTGCCCAAAAGCACAAGGTGTGCAATACTCAGAGACATGGCCAAGGTAAGAAAGGCTGAAAGACGACCACCACTGAACAAGACACAAGCTGAAACGTCAAGACTGGGCCAAGAAATATCTCAAGACTGGTTTTTCTAAGGTTTTATGGACTGATGAAATGAGAGTGAGTCTTGATGGGCCAGATGGATGGGCCCGTGGCTGGATTGGTAAAGGGCAGAGAGCTCCAGTCCGACTCAGACGCCAGCAAGGTGGAGGTGGAGTACTGGTTTGGGCTGGTATCATCAAAGATGAGCTTGTGGGGCACGCACGCACGCACGCACGCACGCACACACACACACACACACACACACACACACACACATACATAGCTCACTCTCTTCTTTTTTTTTTTAATTGTTATTGAATTATTGTATATATCATTATGTATTCATCCTGCTCATACATTAACCTTTTTGTTCTTTAATTAAAAATATTTCCAGGTTGTTGCATAAAATGTGCAGAAGGGTATCTTTGTATTTCTGTAATTGAAACGTTACATTTGCTAAACTTGGACAGTGAGCTCGGTTTCAGTGGCTCATGTAAAAATGTTTGTCATCTATCATCTGTAATCCCAAATGATATCATTTTTGTTTGGTGATGTTTTTGCACAAGGGCATGCATTCATTTAAGTTATTATTAAAATGTAACTTTCCACCAACTTCACCCAGCTGTGAAAGTAGTTTACAAATCTCTCAGCACAATGTCCCAACAAAGTCCTGCATTCTAATATGATTTTCTCAAATATGTTTATAACTCGTATGATGTAGTGGTTGTATGTATGTGTGTGTGTGTGTGTGTGTGTGTGTGTGTGTGTGTGTGCGTGCGTGCGTGCGTGCGTGCCCCACAAGCTCATCTTTGATGATACCAGCCCAAACCAGTACTCCACCTCCACCTTGCTGGCGTCTGAGTCGGACTGGAGCTCTCTGCCCTTTACCAATCCAGCCACGGGCCCATCCATCTGGCCCATCAAGACTCACTCTCATTTCATCAGTCCATAAAACCTTAGAAAAACCAGTCTTGAGATATTTCTTGGCCCAGTCTTGACGTTTCAGCTTGTGTGTCTTGTTCAGTGGTGGTCGTCTTTCAGCCTTTCTTACCTTGGCCATGTCTCTGAGTATTGCACACCTTGTGCTTTTGGGCACTCCAGTGATGTTGCAGCTCTGAAATATGGCCAAACTGGTGGCAAGTGGCATCTTGGCAGCTGCACGCTTGACTTTTCTCAGTTCATGGGCAGTTATTTTGCGCCTTGGTTTTTCCACACGCTTCTTGCGACCCTGTTGACTATTTTGAATGAAACGCTTGATTGTTCGATGATCACGCTTCAGAAGCTTTGCAATTTTGAGACTGCTGCATCCCTCTGCAAGATATCTCACTATTTTTGACTTTTCTGAGCCTGTCAAGTCCTTCTTTTGACCCATTTTGCCAAAGGAAAGGACGTTGCCTAATAATTATGCACACCTGATATAGGGTGTTGATGTCATTAGACCACACCCCTTCTCATTACAGAGATGCACATCACCTAATATGCTTAATTGGTAGTAGGCTTTCGAGCCTATACAGCTTGGAGTAAGACAACATGCATGAAGAGGATGATGTGGACAAAATACTCATTTGCCTAATAATTCTGCACTCCCTGTATTTATATATAAACATATATAAATAAAACCACTTTTTTTACATTAGTAATTCCTTTTGTGCATAATTTTATATTGTTGTTAATAATAAACTAATTAAAGCAACAAAACAACCTGAAGAGCTGGTTGGGAGCCGAAAGAGCCGGTTCTCTAAAAAGAGCCGGGATCCCATCACTAACCAATCAGCCCTCAAACACAAGTGCTCATAATTATCTTAGATCCACGAGTGACTGGACTCTACATTCTTAAGTAAGTTAGTCAAACATTGCTGTTTTCTTGCCTTATCTGCTCTCTGTTTTAAATTGTGACAAACTACCTGTTTCGAGCTACAATCGCTACACACATACTGTTTACTTTACTTTACAACTTTACGACCTTTGTTTCTAGGAAACTTATGATACCTATCGGAGCATCATTTTTGACCCACTTACACATTTAAGGGTTAAGGTGGCTGCTCGCATCTTGTAAAAAAGATAAATTGGTGTAAGGGAGATCAAAAACAAGTAATGGATATCAAACCAGCATTTATATGCATTAAAACAGATAATACTGTTGATATATGATTGCATTACTTGCATAGGCAACTTCTTGGGTTGTTTTATAGTTTGGTGTACTTTCCCCGAAATAAAATCGATGCATTTAGTAAGCAGGTCAGTTGCATTAATCAAATCAATCGCATGCCATGATAACTGCCATCAAACAAAACAACCACGCCTACCAAAATCTTCAGGAAGTGAGAGATCAGCGTCTGTTTTTCTGTTAGTTGGTGTTGACACAGGATGCAGTTAACACCATTCTGCCTGATGCTGAGTGAGTACAAAATTCAACATTTAAGGATATTTTGAACAATTTTGTACATTTTTTTTTTCTTATAATCCATCATTATCCCTGCTTACACTTTAATTTCTTAAACACTGCTTTTATTCGGTCCTTAATAAATTATTTTCGTTCTGTTTTTTTTTTGGTTGTTGTTTTTTTGTTTGTTTTTTTAATTTTCACCCTTTTCTTGTCTCTTTCTCTCTCTCTTCCTTCCCTACAGCCTGTCTTCAGGTCAACCCTGACAGGTCTCAGTTCTTCAGGTATGACAACATCTCTTTGAGCTGTGGCGAACAGTTGAACAACACTGGTTGGAAAGTGAAGAGGAAAACGCTCGCAGGGGGGACCAGACCCTGCTCCTCTGGCTGGGGCTATGCCTCCTCGGGTTCGACTTGCATCATCGGACAAACCTACCCACCAGACAGCGGCGTGTACTGGTGTGAGTCTGTCAGTGGGGAGCAGAGCAATGTGGTCAACATTACCATTACTGGTATGAATAACACTACGTTAAGTTCTGCTATGCAACATTTAAACTTAAAGTCACACTTATTAAGTCTGATCATTTAGAAATGAAGCAAAGAAAACCTATAAAAATGACAAATCTTGATTTTCTGCATTTTCCAAAGATCAGCCTGTGATTCTGGAGAGTCCTGCCCTTCCCGTGTCTGAGGGAGCCACTGTAACACTGCATTGTACACCTGAGACAAAGTCCTTCAACCAGTTTTTTGATTTCTATAAAGATGGCCACTGCATCAAAAGGAACTCCACAGGAGAAATCACCATTAAAAGGGTTTCTAAATCTGATGAAGGACTCTATAAATGCAGCATTTCAGGAGGTGAAGAATCACTAGTCAGCTGGCTGTCAGTTGATGGTGAGCAACAAAAATCCCATCACACACACAATGTTGAGCAATTTAAAATTTTTAAGCATTTTAAGAAAAAAGAAATTTTAAAAAATGGCTGCTATAAACTCCAAAATTTGCATATTTGTCTTTGTTTTGTACATCTGCAAATGATGAGGAGAGAAAAACATTCTACCCCTAAAAAGACACAATTAAAGAAAACATGTATTTAATAAAGCATTTAAATGTATAATTTCCATGTTCATCTCTTTACAGCTTCATCTCAGGAGTTTCCTTCATCTACATCTGCAGCTGAACCGGCCGCTCCCTGCTCTTTTTCTGTCTTAAGACTAGTATTTCACCTGTTGGTGGGAACGCCTTACCTGGTGTCCACTGTTCTACTGGGGCTTATATACCGAGACAGGAGGAGAGGTAAAGTAAACCCTGCAAGTGTGTAAGAGGTATTTCTTATCAGATTGGGTTATAACAACAACAACAACAACGTGTGCTATCAGCTAGTAAACTATTTTCTGGAGGCTTTTGTTTGTTGTCAGTGACAATTTCTGTTAATCAAAACTGTTGTCTGAAAATAGAATGTTACATAAAATAGATATGTCATCTATTGTTGATTATTTTGTTGTCTTCATTTTTTTTTTTGCATATTTGGCACAGTGACATGCATCAAATCATTAAGAAAATAATAGTCCAATGTATCCAAACCTGTTCATTTTAAGAATTTCCTTAAACAGAACCTTTGTGACAAAGTGAATCAGCCTAAAGATTACAAAAAGCAACAGATCATGCCACAATCTACAGGAACACCGCAAGCGAGGTCACAAAACACCATCTAAAGAACTGCAGCCTTCACTTGGTTCAGTAAAAGTCAGAATTCATGATTCAACAATAAGAGAATGGATACAAATTGTATTCATGGGAGAGTTCTAAGTAAATCACTGCTGACCAAAAAGAAAGGCTCATCTCACAGTGTCAAAAACATCTCGATGATCCCCAAAACTTTTGGCAAAATAATGTCTCGACTCACAAGACAAAAGTTTTTGGAAGGTTTTCTCATCTCACCTTTTCTCAGCATAAGAAGATCATCATGCCATCAGTCAAACAAGGTGGTGGTAGTGTGATAGTCTGGGACAACTTTGCTGCTCCAAGACCCGGACATCTTACCATAATTGATGGAACCATGAATTCTCCTCTCTACCAGAAGGCCCAGCCATCAGATTAAGCTTTTATATATATATATATATATATATATGCACACAAAATTTCTCCACAGCAATGTCACAGGCTCACTGCCAAATGTTTGGAATTCCGCCCTTACTTCAAGTAACTATTAGCTCTGAAAATTTAAGTGTGACAAATATCAGTAAAAGAAAGAAAAACATTGAAAATGGAATGCAAATCCTTTTTTTTTCACTGTACTGTACGTATAATTTGGCCACTAATTCAAATTCAATTCATAAAAGTCTTCATAAAAGGGGCTGTAGCGGTAGAGCTGGTCATCTACTGATTGGAAGGTTCGTTGTTCGATTCTTGGCTTCCCCCAAGTCTGCATGCCAAATATCCTTGAGCAAGATGCTAACCCCATGTTGTTGCTCTCCGATGCATCCATCGAGTGTGACTGTGTATGAATGTAGTATAACACTTGAAAAAGTGATTGGGTGAATGAATTAGTTGTATAAACATGCAGGTGATGACAGCAGTCGTGCTGGCAAAATTGCTGGCGCTGTGTGTGGGGCTGTAGGTGTTGCAGCGACCGTTGGCATTGTGGTCTGGGTGGTGAGAGGAAGTCCACACGGGTTCTGTGAGTCAAAAGTTCTCCTGTTTCTTAACTTTAACTTTTATTTTGGCTTAAAAACAACAGTGTAAAGTCAGTCGTTCAACAGTATTTTTTCTTTATTTTTACAGATAAAGTAGTCTAATGGAAGAAGAAAGAGATTAAGGAAAAAACAAAACTGGCTATAAAATCTAGAGAACTTGGGAAAAGGATATCACAAACGTTGTTACTGCTCATTTTTTTTCTGAGTAAATAAGTCACATTTCTACAGATGTATATACTATATAATATAGATGCATATTGTTTACTGATGAAGAATCGCACCATCATGTCAATCTCCAGTGTACTGATATTAGTCTTTGGCTCTATCTGGTGGTGGAATGATGGCATGACATACATGTACAGAGTTGTAAATAAAAGCTACAGAGAGCAGCTTTTAGATGTGTGTATTTCATCCTTTAACATCTTACAGACTTAAATGTAAACATACAAATGAGGCAGGTTTAATATGTACAGAGAAAATGGTTGGAAGTAAGGCACTGAGGTTTGAAGCCTGAAAAGAAAAAAGAAAAGTTCTTATAATGCACCTTTCTGCTACAACTGAGCACTAAAAGCACTTTAGTTCTGTTGCTTTATTGTTTATGTTTTGTGATCTGGATGGTGAAGGAAAGTCAGGGCTGTTAGGGCTGACAAACACATCTTTTAACTGTGAGGTGGAAATCAGTGCTGGTGATAACAATAAACCTAATATGACCAGAATCTCATCATTTAGACAAACACAAAACAGCCATTATCTTTCTCTTAAAATGTAAATAGTTTTTGAATGTTTGTCACTTTAGATTTTTTTTGAGTGCATACAAACTATAGGGGTTTGCTCATCTGCCTTCACATGCATACAAACTACAGTGACATCTCATTCTTTAGTCATAGGGCTTAAACTCTTCTGGGAAGGCTTTCCACAAAGTTTAGCAATGTAAGAGTTTTTGATCATTATTCCAGAAGAGGATTTGTGAGATAAAAAATAGATGTTTGATAAGAAGGCCTGGTTCACTTAATTCTAATTCATCCCAAAGGTGTTTTCTAAGAGGCTGATGTCAGGACTCATCCATGTATTTATGGACCTTGGTTTGTGCTCTGGTGCACAGTCATGTTGGAACAGGAAGGGGCCATAGCCAAACTGTTCTGACAAGGTTGGAAACTTAAAATGGAAACAGCTCTAGAATCCATTGGCAGTGTGCTTTTTGCCACTGCATCCAGTTACGTTCCAATACATCTCTAGATAGATAGATAGATAGACTTTGCTTATAGGTGGTAACCCAAACCCCATTGTGCCAGTGTGTGTGTGTGTGTGTTTGTGTGTGTATTTTATTCATTTCTATGTTTAACATTAAATGTCTGTACTATTAAACCATTTGGATTGCTTGTATTAAGAGAAAACCAGCAGATGGTGCTAATTCTATTGGTTACCTCTGGCCAAGCTGTAATTCACATTCTTTGCTGGAGCAAGTTTGACATTTGATTTGTTCTGAGAATGAGTGCAATTTAGCGAGTCTTTTATAAGAATATGAGAATGTAGATTAAAAGTGTATCACACAACAGAAACCTAAGAGTGTTTCGTATTAGCGTTTTTGCAAATCTGGCCAAATTTTTCCACAGGAAGTGGTTTCAGTCAGACAGACTTGGTCATGGTTTACATTTGTATTCGGCACAATGCAGCTGTGATTGTGTTGACCAAGACATATTGTTATATAAAATAACAAAAAAAAAGAACTAAATTACCTCTATTTTTCTGTCTTTACTTCATTCATCGTCAATGCCTCCTCTTTCCCTTCTTATGTACAAAATGTTGGAGAATATTTAAATAATTTGTAATGTGAAGACTTTGTAAAGATTCACTATGATTTACACAGCAGTGCACTCCATGATAGTGACATCAGTACTTATTCAGGGTCAGAAACCTCTGGTTCAGTGTTTGAGATAGGTCCTATTGTTCCCATCACAGAACACAACAGAGAGCAGCTTTACTCAGAAACCAGACCACAGGATTTTCCAGCCACACAGCAGAAAACTAAATATAGGTCAAACAAGTTTACCTGTCAAAACAAGCACTTATACTCGTTTCCATTTTTTTTTTTGTTCCATTTTTTAAATCGTTTTTGCCATTTTAAACTGCACATGCTTTCAATATAACTGCTGAGCTGTTTGTGTTGTGGGTTTTTAAACTGGCACAGTGTCCTGTGTCTTCTCAGAAATTACACTCCCCTAGATTGAATACACTCAATTTAACCACAGCTGACCCATATTGGCTGAAAGAGCTGATGGAGCAATAATCATTGCATTTCTCTGTTTGCAATTTAAAGAAATATTATTAATTTTGAGTAAAGTTTTGAGCCCATGCTGAACGGAGATGAAAGTGTGGACAAAAACAACAAGAGACAGCCGTACAAAAGCTGATGACAATAAAACCACAAACACTTCGCCGAGCACTGAAGGCCCCTACACTTCCTTTTCACACACAGCGATTATGCATTTCACATCCTCTGTAATATAACAGTTTGATATTTTTCAACAAACGTTCTTGCTCTTATGAAAACAGAGGAAAATTGTCACAAAAGGTCAAAAGTGTCACACGTCAAAAATAGCAGATAGCAGCCATGTCTGGGACTTTTACTATGGGCTCCATGTCAACAGAAATGTCACAGCATGCTTTACACCTTCACTGCTTATTACTGATTTATGACTGAGTGGAAACTTGACTAAAGCCACCTGTGGCCAATAAAAGAACTGGCCAGTTTTGCTCTTATGTTTCTCTTCATATTTCTGCTCTCCTACTGTCCCCTCCCACACCACAACAGGAAGGAACTGAGCAAAGTGAACAGCCTTTGTTGAGCAACAAAACACAGAACCCGGGAAAGCTTACTAACATTTATTCAGTCCTAAGATTTCTGTCATTTTAAGAAAAGTCACTCGGCAGGGTTGATAATGTGATCGGAGAAACTGGTCATGAAAACCTTAATAGTGAGTCCACAAAAAACAAAAGATTTTTAAAATATATTTATTCTTGCTATGAAATTAAGAATTCAACTAAAACA